CGTCGCCTGGTGCCAGACCGGACCTGTCTGGTCGTCGCCTGGTGGCAGACCGGACCTGTCTAGCCATCACCTGGTGCCGAGCCAGACCTGTCTGGTCGTCGCCTGGTGCCGGACCGGACCTGTCTAGCCATCACCTGGTGCCGAGCCAGACCTGTGTGGTCGCCGCCTGGTGCCAGACCGGACCTGTCCAGTCGGCCGCCGTCCGCCGGCGCCGATCCGGGCCTGTGATATCAGCACGTGTCCCGCAGCGCTGATGCCGCCTCGCTGGACGTCGCCCCGCGGCGCCGGGTCGATGGCGGCCGGTGCTGCGTCTCGAGCGGCAGCTGGACAGGGCGACGGCGCCAGCAGCTCGGCACCGGCACAGGCGCAGGTCTCGACTGTACCGCAGGTCTCGACTGTACCGCCGTGGATATATACCACCAGCCTGTAAAAGCTCAGGCGTTCTGCTTTGCGTGATAACGCCTTTGTTGTTCTTCGCTCTGATCCCATTTATTTCCTGCCATCGATCATCCAAAGGCATGGCAGAACACGCAACTGTTGCTTGTTACAATGCCTCTTGCATTAATCTGAGCTCAAGTAAATGACGTTGCGAATACCCACCATGACACATTTACGGACTCCACATCGTGGCAAAAAATAGCATATTCGCCATTTTCACGAGGCCGTTTAACGTAAAATGTCCAAAGGTTTTATAAAGTTCTCTCTCTCTCTATCTCTCTCTCTCTCTCTCTCTCTCTCTCTCTCTCTCTCTCTCTCTTCTCTTCTCTTCTCTCTCTCTCGTCTTCTTCTCTTCTCTCTCTCTCTCTCTCTCTCTTCTCCTCTCTCTCTCTCTCTTCTCCCTCTCTCTCTCCTTCTCTCTCTCTCTCTCTCTCTCTCTCTCTCGCTCTCATCTCTTCTCTCTCTCTCTTCTCTCTCTCTCTATCTCTCTAGCTCTCTCTCTCTCTCTCTTCGCTCTCCTCTCTCTCCTCTTCTCTCTACTCTCTCCCTCTTCTCTCTCTCTCCTCTCTTTTCCTCTCTCTTCTCTCTCTCTCTCCTTCTCTCATCTCAGTCTCTCCACTCTCGGCTCTCTCTCTCTCCATGCTTCTCTTCGGTCTGCACTACTTCGAGTCCCAAAAGTTAGTTCTCACTGCGCACACTTTTGGGACTCAGAGAATTTATGTGAAACAAGAGGTCATCAGCTGAAACCACAGTGGGCCTAAAAATCCATGCGTGACTTTCCGAAATTGCATATAATAACATCGAGTGCTTTGCTCTGTAAGCTTCTGTGAAAACAGCAGTTATGCAACGGTGTCGGCGTGCCATTGTGAGGAATGTTTCGTCCTGAGCGCGGGTGATGACACTTTTTCCAAAAGAGTTATCTAGTGCAGGAAACACTTTAAGTCGCTGCAGTACGCGCAATGTGTATATCAAGCACAGGGAAATCATATGTAACGTGAGGTTACCTCGTATGTTGCGAAAATGTGGTGCGTGCGTGGGGGTGGGGGAGTCAACGGATTGCATGCCCTCAGGAAGAAATGTAACCGTCGTGTGACGGAATAAGACGTCAATGAGTCGGTTGATGTTACTCCCATCCAGTTTGCTCAGACCACGGGAAAGATATTTAGGGAGGCGCCGTACAATACATAGCTGATGCTACAATCATTGCGCATGTTGCCGAAAACATGGTCTGTGGCCATACCAGACCCCGCGTTGTGCCGTTATTTATAGAGGTCATGTGTTCCGAGCAGGGTTTGTGACAAAAAACATTCTTTACCGTTGCCTGACAATAAATGACCCTTTTCTATGCCACATTCGTAAAGCTGCGCGTCTGGGTAGGCGGAGGTTTGGGGTTTGATTCTCCGCGGTGTCCGCCTTTCCTGCCTGGGTGAGTGCCTCGCGGCGCCATATAGCCTCAGATGCTGAGTGTGTCGTAAAGCTGAGTATGATAAAATATTGCGTGGGCTCCATACGCTTTGAATGTCGAGCGAGGTCAATGGCCCTTGGTGACTCATTTGAAGCTACGTGGATTTTGGACCTTTCGCACCGATTCTGGTCTGGAAGACAATTTCGTGTCTATCTGGCTCAGAAATATTGTCTTATGCGCCGGAAAGTTGTCATTTTTCATGCCCCCAGGCATTATGGTTGCTCTGACCTGGAGCGTAATTGGTTGACAACCGATCAAACTGAAGGGACCAAGAGCTCCTGTGGCTCTGGCTTAACTTGGGGCCTAAAGGATGATTGTTTATTCCCACTTTACCAACGACGCGGCGAAAATACCACCTGCGTGGTGGGCTGTTTGAAACTGGTGATGACAGTTAAGACGCTTCTGTTGATTTAATGCTTAAGAGCATACCAATTAAAAAGGTGTGATGTTTTACTAGTTAACTCTCGTTTAAGCAGGTGATGCAGACTTCATGCTTGCAAAATACAACAACAGGGACTTAGTGCGCTTACGTCACTTTGAGGCGACTGTGGGTCCCGGTCAAAGCCAGACACAAAACGGACCACAGGCCTCATCTATCAGAATGCGCCATCAGCGGCGATTCGGTCTCCGTGGCCGCAGGCACCCGCGCCCGGTGCGACGCCAGATGTCGTCCCGCCATAGCTGGCCTGTTCTGGCGCGCTCTGGCAGCGCGGCCCCAGCAGGGCGCTGCAGAAGTGGGCTCGGCGGCGGGCTGGAGCAGCTCCACCGGCCGTCGGCTGCCCGGTAACTTCCCTCAGGCGTGTCATAAATGGCCCTTGAAATTGGGTCCATCCCAATATAGCGGTGGTCCTCTGAGAAGGAGTCCAGACATTGCTTTGCGTTTAGCTTGGGCAAGCTGGATAGCAATAGAGATGTCGTCTTACGGCAAACGGCTGGAGAGCCCGGCTTTCGTGCTCGGGGGAATTGTTCGCTGGTCCAGGGTCTTAAGACACGCCATGTGCCGCAGTCTGTTCAGAATTTAGTTTCAAACCAAGCATATCTATAGCACATTTCGTAAGTCATAAAAGCTCTTCCTTTTTACCTAAGTGTTTCATGTGACGATTGATAAAGTCTGCAATCATTTTCATAGTTGTTTATTGAACTCAGATGATGATAAATACGTATTTTGTGAGTCGACAGAAAGAACTCGGAACGCAAAAACAACAGACGTAATCCACATAATCGGGCAGAAAATGCCAGTCAGGACATTAAGAACGTGCTTTTCGCAAGCCGCGTTATTGAGAACATACTAAAATTGTATTTTAACAAATATATTTGATGTCGATGCACAATTATGTTAGCATACTTAACTTACTGCGATGATTCCATTGGAAGAGTCTAATGTCTGCAGATGAAGCTTGTCGATGGCAGGCCCATCCAAAACTGCGAGACAACAATACGAAACCAAATGAACGAAACGAGCGTAACGAAACATTAAAGTCTTAGTGCGGGCCTGAACAGCACACCTGAATAAACAGCACACCTGCATAGCCCTAACCCCAAGGCACAACGAAGCCTCCAAAACTTCTTCCACCTCGTCTTGATACATGCTGTAGCCAATATCAACAAGGCTAGTTCCAGGATTATTGCACTTGGATTTTAGGGGTCGACACAAGTGCTTGAAGTTTTGTCCACGTGTTATACGGGGCAAATGACATGTTGCCCGCATTAAATACTTCGGCCATCAGACTGGCTTGTTCGGGACCAGTTCATCCAGCGTCTGAACTAAAACGGTCAGTTTAACAAAATGGATTAAGACAAGTTGTATTGGAGAAATTGGTTATGAACATAGAGTTTTATGGCTTACAGCTAATCATTTCTCACGTCACCGACGTTGCTGGCAATGCTCATGTAATGCGATTTTGTTCTTGGTGAGTGCTGAAGTCAGTGTTTTACACTTGTATGGGATTTTAAACTCAACTAGCCACCTTGAACGTCGTTAGTTGCATTTCACTGCCCTGCCCTTCTTAAGACCTAAAACCCTCTAGTTTCTGAGCCATCTACTCACGAAGATGTGCAGACTAATTCATGCCGACCATTATCAGGTCACTCATGTACACATGACGCCACAGAACCGTCATTCAAATACTGCCACCCCATCGGTCATGCGGCGTTCAAGGCCAAGAAATCGAGTGCCTGAATCGACTTGAACCCACCCAGCCACAGGAGGGTGGATCGGAAGGCAGGTGCTGTAACCTACCGAGCTATCGGAGCGGGCACGGGCACGTATGTCTGTGTGCATTCGCTCGCTTTTACCGCTCGCTCACTGCGCCTGAATAAGACACCAAATGACTTTCTTTCTTTAACCTGCGATCACAGGTCACAAAGCTAACGTAATCAAGCTGAGATCAACGACTCCGGAGGAGGCAAAACTAGCGACGCTTTTCCAGCGGCTGCCAAAAATACAGTTCACTTAGGCGTAACTGCTTACAGGAATGCATATATGTAACAAAGTACATTCTAGAAACGGCTCAATTGATCTTAGATCTGGCAACTATTTTAAGTGAGGGTCAAACATATACATTCTATTTCCATCTGAGATTTTCGTCACTTACATTTGGAGGCAACACAGCGAATTGCATACGAATCTCCACATCGCGTTCTGCCAGTTATCTTTTTCAGATTTATAGCAGGCTGGTTAAGTTCAGCGAAGCCGAAAATATGGGACAGCTTACCCGCCCTTTGTTCCACTCGCAGCAGCTCGGTTCGTAAAACGTGTGTGCACTGAATCACCCACCCGTGGCGTGGTGGGATCGAGTCGCTCTAAGCGCTCGCTTTTTGCCCCTTACTGAGATGGCCTGCGACCGGTGGCAGCAGCTGCGCTGAAGGTCAGGTACCGTTAGGCCAGGACGGACCATGCCAAGCATTTCTGCATGGCCCCGCGTGGGCCTCTTCTAAGAAGTCCCTGAAGTGCCCGTGTTGTTGGTTGATCTGGTTGAGGTACGTGACGGCATGATTCTCCCGGCAGAGCACATCGTATCCGGACTGGTCGGCGCTGCGGGCCAGCCGGCTGGCCATGCGCCGTTGACGGGGCGGGGCGGCATGAACGCCACGGCAGCGCCGCCCAACGCCGCCGCCCTCAACTGGTGGGGCCTGCTCTGCATCCCGCTGGTGCTGATGACGTCTGCCGGCAACATCCTGGTGTGCGTCGCCATCACGGGCGAGCGGCGGCTGCAGAACATGACCAACTACTTCCTGATGAGCCTGGCCATCACCGACCTGATGGTGGCCGTGCTGGTGATGCCCCTGGGCATCGTCGTGCTCGTCCTCGGTGAGTGCTGCTCGTGCGCGCAGAGCACGGCCAACGCTCGGCGTGGCCTTCTGCTCCCTGCTGGGTGCTGAGCGTCGGGACGCAGGATGGGTGCTGACGGACCGTCGCTATTCTGCTCGTTGACCGGAAGTGGCTAGCCAGCGGGAGGGACGGACGATGCCTGCCCCTGATTCGATGCCCTTGCCGTGACCTTGCCCCGTAGAGATGGATTTTCCTCTTGGCAGCCGTCACCCACGCCATTCAGGGTCGGATACTTATTGAGCTAAACTCTGGAAACTAAGACACAGAAACCTTCGTGCCCATATCAAATATAATTTGGTTCCATTTACTCCGACTGCATTAGGTGGTAGTTCGCGAATAGCCCTCTATATGCACGGGAATATTCCCTTACGTTCAAGACAAGAAGTGCAGACAGCTCTGCAGCGGTGATGAAAGCAACGCAATCCACGAGTGGCAGCCAATGGTGTGTTGCACGGATGGAATGATTGTTCGGATTATCGTCCTGGTTTGGTGTGTTGTACACCGTAAAACGTGCCAAATTCCTTCCGTAAAACTATAAAAGGTGTATTGTTGCAACCCCACGTCATACCTCCTAGCTGCATGACCATGGATGCACGCCTTTATCTTGTGACTTGTTTTTGTGTCACGCGCTCCATGCGCCCGTTTTCTCTTTCCTTAATGCGCAGCGAACTAAAGTCAACTTAGGCGACTTTTTTCCTACACAGGGGACAGATACCATGTAAACTAAGATGCAACGTAACATTTTAAAGTGAAGATAGCCTGTCCAATCACCTGCTCCAGATGTTGACCATCTGTCCCTCTGGAATCAAGAAAGGAAAAAGAGCCTTGAGCACCAAATTTTCCCACTGCGATCACATTTTGTGAATTGGTCAGCCGTCCTTGTGAGCTCAGCGCGGTGCGCAATTCAGGCATTCGCGCTGGGCATTCCACCTCAAGTCAGTCACCATGCACATAGCCTCTACACTTTTACATCCCACATTTGACGTATTTTTCGTATTTTCGCATTTCACGTTTAGTCCGCATTTGCACTGTGTCGTTCCTTCCAGAAACCGTCTCATTTATCCACGTCTCTTCAGCGGTATGGCTGCCTCTGTTTATCTTAATAATGGTGACATGTTGTGCTAGAACGAGAGACAGCCGTACTTTCAGCTCGGCTTTCCATACACTCCGTGATGTCTCACAGCCGTCCCGTTGATAGCCCGGCGTCATACGGACGCCGGGGAACTCCTGGACTTCTGGTGAGCGCGGCAACTGCGGGGCCGTTTCAATATTTCAAAAGCTCACCGACGTCTCATTGACGTGTGGCGGGCGGGCGGCCGATATTTCTGGCCGTGCCGACGGGCGTGGCGGCTGCGTCGGCCGACTGCCCGACTGTGGCCGTCCACGGCCAGGCCCGACTGTGGCCGTCCACGGCCCAGGCTCGACTGTGGCCGTCCACGGCCCAGGCCCGACTGTAGCCGTCCACGCCTGGAGAGTGGGCCGTGCGCGCCCAGGCGCCAGCCAAGCAGTGCCAGGAGACGGAGGGCGCCTGGAGACGGCCTCCCGGTGTCAGCTGACAGCGGCTGACGCTGAATGGTGTCCATGGAGACGGAGTGCGTGGAGTCGGAGTCCCCGTTGTCAGCGGAGTTGCTGGTGGGGGCTGACGATAGGGTTGGTGCAAAGAGAAAGAGTCATGGATACAGGATCAAGTTCCTAGAGACAAGGTCGCTGTTATGAAACGACGTACTCGTGCCAGCAATCAGAGTCGGTCCGGACGGCGCTTCGTATGATGCAGGTATGGTTATGATCTATGTGACATTTGTTCAACATAGAACGATTGAATACCCTGCCCTATTCTTTTCTGCAAGCTTCACCACGTTTATGTGTTAAGCTATCTTTTGCCAAAACTATTTTTCTTCAGCCTATTCCAACGGTGCCATTCTCTTCGAGCGTCCACGGAGTATGCGGCACCAGCTCCACAGCTCATCTGGTGGCGCTGATTTGCCCTCTTCCCCCGATATTTTTCCAAAATAGCTTCCGAACGGCGCGGCGTTAGCCGATATTCTAGCATAAAAATCTACGAGCCTTGTAAGGTTACTGAGCCATAACAGGTGGAAGTGAGGCCATAGCTGTCAGCGAACGCAATTCCTGGGGAATCGTTCAACCTGATGCGACAATAAAGTGTTAGAAGTAGCTAGAGAGACATGTTTGAGATGATTTCTCAGAAAATAAAACTTGCATTTAAGACTGCGACTTATTCCATTGACCTTGTGTCAGGTGCGAAGGTCGGACGGTGTAAAAACCAAATCGCTTTCACTGGAAGTGGTTTTCGACGCTCGTTTTGATGTTTTACAAGGACGTCAACAGGCATTTTCTTTTAAACTCATAAACGTCAGGGGGTGGGGGGTATTCTGACACGAAACGATTTCAGTGAAACTTTTTAAACAGCGTGCCAACTAGCGTAGCACTTGACGCTTAAATGAATTGAAATATCAAATCCATTTCTATTGTTGTTGCTAGCCTCGACCTACCTGAGACGAAGGCAGTTCATTGGCCGGACCTGAACACCAGTGACCTTTTTATTTAGGGGACATATCTAAGTTCAAGATGGTTGCATGATGAGGTCTGAGGGCACTTTGTACACCAGTCTGAAATTTGACCTCCTTCGATCTTATTTCATCTGAAAGCCATAACCTAGGGACCTCAAGATTTGACACAAGGGAGATCACATACAAGATCATAATTAACACCCACCCCGTAACTTTGTTTTGTCCAGCTTTCTTAGCCCCTGAGATCTCAGAGAAGGGATGAGTATAACATTCCCTCTCCCATCCTAGCGTGTCGTATCCACCTGGTCATCCGGATGTGTGTTTAATTTCACACCCCACGCCACCAGCATGGAAAGCCGGCGGCAGACATTTCAAGAAGTCAGATCTGGTGTTTGCCGAGGAGATTTGTCGCGTAAAGCTTTGTAAGTGTTTTTATGAAAGTATTTTTAGAAGTACCAGCCTGCAAACGCGTGATTGAGCGTCATGTAAGGGGTATTAGTGTCATGCCTATGTAACTACTGTCACGTAACCTATAGTCTGCGTTTCGACATTGAAATTCAGAGGTCACATTGGCATGTGATAGTTGTTTGCTGTTTGTTTTAGCTGTTTTTCATGATCATGTTGGATATCTTTTTTGGTCTTGTGGTATGTCGTGAGTGATTTTTACTGCTAGGATCGATGGCGTTCAGTGATAAGATAAAACTTCTACTTTCCAACTCTCGCTCGATACTCATACTATTTCGGCATCCGCGAGCACGGCCTGTCATGCTGTCCTGCTTCAGTCTTCCCACGTATCTTAGACATCAAAACACCATATCGATTGTGATTCTATCCACAGCATCGCGAGCTCGGGCATGATTGGTCCCGAGCGTCAAAGCCCTATATAAACAAGCCGAACATCGGGTGCGTGATTGAGCAGACCAGTATCGGGACACATCTAGAGACCGCCACTGCCCTCCCTCCCCACCCCCACCCCCACCCCCACCCCCACCCCAACCCCGACCCCCACCACCTTTCTACTGCAGCACCGGCACCGACTCGAGGCCATCACAGCCGCCTCCCGCCCGCGCAGACTATTTTAGGGGCATATGGAACGACTCCGGAGGATAAAACCAAGGATAAATTTGCCCCGGCCCGCTGATAACCGTAATTTACGATAAGGCCAAGAGCAACGCGACTGCCTCGCGCCCTGGCTGCCGTGAAAGCTGGCCCGGGCCCGCCTTCGCCCGTGGTCGGGCCAGCTAGAAGGTAACCGCGGCAGCGTGGCCACCTTCCGATGGCGCCAGGTCCGGCGCGACCCATGCCTCCGCCGCGCGCGCGGTCGCGTTACGATCGCGTATCACCTGCGCAGCTGTATGGGAGCGCTAATCACGTTGCAGGCATGAGGAAAGATGCCGGAGAGGGATTACAAACTCACCTGCATCACAGTTTCATGTTACCATTCTGTTTATGCCGTAGTTGTTCTTAAGTGGCAAACGAACCAGTTGATTGGACACGGCGTGTGCTCGGCTCGCGATACTCGTATTGCTCGCCATGGGCTCTGGGCCTTTACGGCAATCGCAGAGATGGCCAATGCTGCCACTGCCTGGCAACTTGACGGACAAGGAGAGGTCCTCGGCTCCCGTCACGTCCGACGCAATGTGGTTCAAACTCATCCCACGCCCATGTTCACGATTGGAAGTAAGAATATCCTGTTGCTGAGAGCATAAAGAATAAGTCGAAAAAACATACTGACTGCTTGCTGACTAATTTATCATATTTTGTCCTTGTATATGAGTGGAAGCGTTACGAAATTTGTAGTCGACGTATCGATAAGATGAAGCTCAAAATAAGACAAATTTACCTTAGAAAACCTTGCGTTTTCTCAACTAATTCATTATATCATGAGCCTCAGGATGTTGCTAACACGTGCCCGAACGCCCGGTTGGATACCCTTTGCTCGGGTGTGGGGGGGGGGGGTCAATTTACCTCCCCCCCGAGCGCCCGAATGCCCGGTAGGATACCCTTCGCTCGGGTGGGGGTCAATTTACCCCCCCCCCCCCAAGATCTCAGGAGCTAAGAGGGCTGGGGGCACCAAATTCACAGGATGTCTTGACCTGTACGTGAACTCACTTAGGTCAAAGTTTAAGGTTCCTAGGTCGTGACAATCATTGGGTCAAATAAGGTCAAACAAGATCAAACTTCAGGCTGGTCTCCAAAGTGCCCCCAGAACCTGGAGACCTGTTGTAAGCAAACGATGACATGCTCATTTAAGGTCAGTGACCCCGTCTGACGTTTTAAAAGTCACGGTGACCAATATCATACGGGACTCTTTTGAGTTTTGCATTTGCATAAGCGACAAAGATTACGCTCGACACTATGGTCCTAAAAAAAAAAAATGTTGACCGCAGTCATTTTAGGTTAGTGAGCTATTCTGACCTCTCAGAAGTCCATGGAAGGTGTATAACGCGG